AAAAAAAGGACCACCAGTCCCGGGATTGCACCAACCACAATGGGCTGGGCTCTCCTTCATAAATCACTAAATAAGAAAATGCCTGCTAGGCAATGGTGGCGCACGCCTTTAATCCCAGCTCTTGAGAGGCAGAGATAGGTGGATCTCTGGGAGTTCAAAGCTATCCTGGTCCTGGATATCCAGAGCTACACACAAAGAAACGCTGTCTCAAACAAGAAAAAGAAATGCCCTACAGGCTGACCTATAGCCTGATCTTCCTGAGGCATTTTCTTAATTGAGGTTCAGTCCTCTCAGATGCCTTTTGCTGTGTCAAGCTGACATAAAACTATCCAGCACACACGTGATTGGGCAGAAAGGGGACTCTAATGGAAACTGAGTTGTCTAGAGTTTCCTGGCTTTCTCTGTGAACATCTCCTACCAGGATTTGGCCAAATCTCTTCAGAAATGGGGATCTCCAGCAGGAGAGAGGGCTGAGTGGAAAGAGCACTGGCTGCTCTTACAGAGGACCCCGGGGTTGATGTCTGGCTCCCATGTCAGGTGGCTCCAGTGCCCTCTTCTGGGCTCCACAGACATCACACATGTGATATATTTTACATACATGCTGTGAAAACACACACATAACAACAATCTGAAAACAAAAACAAAGAACCTAACAGACGCTGAAGCATTTGGCCTTGTCTAAAGCACTCCAGCCTCATATGAGGCCCCTGACCTTGGCAGAGACTCTGCACTGTCTTGACTGCTCTTCTGTGCAGAGAGCGTCCCCCTTGACAACCCAGAGAGGAGCACACAGAGATGCAGGGATGGGCACCAAAGCCATGGGGCTGTCCAGCAGCTGCTCCCTCCCCAGCAAACTTTCATTATGGGGCACATTTTTTCTGAACACATCCATTTCCCCAGGTGACCAAGAGTAACTAATACCATCAGTACCTGCTGAGCCACACCTGCCCACTGAGTCTCCCAGTCACAAGAAAACTGGCCCTTTAATATTTTGAAGTATTTTTTCCTTTTTTAAAATTTAAATTAGAAACAAGCTTCTTTTACATGTCAATCCCAGTTCCCTCTCCCTCCCATCCTCCCCTGTCCCCCACCACCGACCCCCTATCCCAAGCCCTTTCTGCTCCCCAGGCTAGTGAGGCCTTCCATGGGGCATCTTCAAAGTCTGTCATATCAATTGGAACAGGGCCTAGACCCTCCCCAGTGTGGCTGAGAGAGTATCCCTCTATGTAGAGAGGGCTCTCCGAGTCCATTTGTGTACTAGGGGTAAATACTGATCCACTACCAGAGGCTCCATAGATTCACCAGGTCTCTAAACTGACCTCCTCATTCAGGGGGTCTGGATCAGTCTGGGATCCATGAGCAACCACTTGTTCAGATCAGCTGTTTCTGTGGGTTTCTCCAGCCTGGTCTTGACCCCTTTGCTCATCACTCCTCCCTCTCTGCAACTGGATTCCAGAGTTCAGCTCAGTGCTTAGCTGTGGGTGTCTGCCTCTACTTCCATCAACTACAGGATGAAGGCTTTATGATAGCAATTAAGTTAGTCATCAATCTGATTATATGAAGGGCAGTTAAGATACCCTCTCCTCTACTGCCTAGATTATTAGCTGGAGCCATCCAAGTGGATTCCTGGGAATTTCCTCAATGCCAGGGAACACAAGCACTCTTACAGGCCTGGTGTGGGAAAGACTTTTGCATTCATGCACAGGGCTCAGCAACCCAGCACTGCTTGACGCTCACACTAGGGTCATGCCAAGGCTATGAGGAAGGACACACAGGTGCCCAACCTACTAGAGAGGCAAGTCCTTAGACAACGCAGTGCAGCATGGAAAACGCTCACTCTGGGAACATGCAGGAAAGAAATCACAATTTGAGGCAGGTCAGTGTGAGCCTTCCAGTGAGATGGACCTGGGTGTGAGCATCCCCTCAAAATGCCTGCTAGTGCTGAGGAGGCTGGCTGCACACCAGCATGCTAAAGCAACTGAACTGCCAGTGTGTGAAATCTCAGACCACCAACAGAGTTCTACCCTGCCCCTGGCCAGAACAGACAGGGCCGTGGTTGGGTGCTTTGCACTGAAGCCGCTAGGCAGCCACCAAGGTGCTCCTTCCAGCCTGTTACACTTCCAACTAACACCTCCTGCTCCTGTCCCTCCTGGGATCCCAGTGACCTTGCCAGGAATTTCACTATGAGAACAGAAGAGATACAGATCCATGTCTGAGGTAAGAAACTTCACACATGACCTTCTGAACTCAGATCAAAAGGAGAATTGAGACAGGCTTCAGGCCTCAGCCCTGGTTGAGGCTTTGTCCTTTAGTCTCCCCACCCAGGGAAAGCACCCTCTCTACACAGCTAAGCTGGCTCAGGGAGGAGATGCTGGAGCTGCACCAGGCCCTGCTTAGAAGAGCAGGACGCCTGGGAGGCACAGCCCTGGTACCCGACACCCAGAAGCTCAAGGAGCAGATGAGATGCAGTGACATGGACCTTGTTCTCTGAACCTCTGACCCCATGCACTGTCCCATTCCCCACTTAAACAGCCACTTTAGAATGGAAGGGACACCAGGAAGAGAATGCCACTGGGGAGCCACAGGCTCTTGGGTCTGGGCCATCCTCACTGTGACCCTGCCCACAACAAGGCTCCCAGTCAAGCCCTCAATATAACACACGGAGCACTTACAAACACCACAGACACAGTTACTTCAATTCTGATTTTGTTTAAAAAACAAACAAACAAACAAACATGATAAATCAGGAACAGGTTTAGGAGTGGTGGTGATGCAGAGGGAAGCATGGACAGGATGAGGGCTGACTGGGGCCGAGGGCAGGGCCGTCTCCACCCTGATCCCTGGTATCTTCTTCTAATGAGAGAGACGGCCACAGTCCAGAGCGGGTCATTCCTCTCCTCTACCGTGTCTGTTCAACTGAAGAAAAAACGCCACAATAAGACAAAAGAGGAGAAATTTAAATTTCTCTCCCTCCCTCCCTTTCTCTCCTCACAGCTGTGTCCTAGGTTCAGAGGATACTCTTGGGAGTAGGAACACTCCCTGTTGCTGGATTAAAGAGGCGGAGAAAGACCCCACACAAGGGTCCCTCACCAGAGCATGGAAACTCCAGGAGGGGAGCCAGCAACCAAGGGCCATTCAGCACCAGAGGCCTCTACCCAGAGGTTTACATGAGGCACTAACAAGGAAAGAGGGAGCAGGATTCAACAAGATGCTTCAGAGGGCAAAGGTGCTGTCACTAAAACTGACAACCTGAGTTCACGCCGAAAACCCACAGGGTGGAGGACAGACAGCCAATAGTATCCTCTGATCTCTACATGCTGTGGTATGTACACACACACACACACACACACACACACACACACACACACACACACACACACACACACGCACACAGCTAGCAGGATGGTGGGGGTGCACTCACTGTAGGAGGAGATGTCGATCTCATCGGGGAGCTCACTGATGTTGACCTCAAAGCGGTCCTGCACGTCATTGAGGATCTTAGCATCGTTCTCATCTGACACAAATGTGATGGCCAAGCACTTGGTGCCTGCTCTGGCCACCTGGGAGGAGACAATGAGAAGATCACGAGTTCACAGGGGAGACAGAGATAAAAGGGAAGGGGACAGCGTGTGCATGAGCGCAGGCACACACAGAGGAAGTGGGGGGAGGGCGGGCAGCTTACCCGGTGCAGGTAGGTGTCCGAATCCTCTGGCATGTCATAGTTGAAGGCGATGTTCACACGCTCAATGTCCATGCCTCGACCAAACAGGTTGGTGGCCACAAGAATCCTCCGCTGGAAATCCTTGAACTGCTGATACCGAGAGAGCCTTTGTGAGGAAGGAGAGGAGAAGCTTGAGATTCCCTTCTCACCACACCCCTTCCTCCCCAGAGCACAAATCCCTTGTTT